AGATCTAATTTATTTCATTATTGTAGTCACATTATTTCATTATTGATGTCCACCACACTATCCACTAAGACCATGTTTAGGATTAAAAGTCATAATCCACAATTAAAAAGATGAGGATTGCATTATTTCTCTTTAAACTTTAATTTGTAGTTAATTAATAGTGGATTATCAATTCAATTGCCCTCCATATGGATCATAGAAAAAGATTAATAAGTGTTTTATATTGTACGAGATAAAATTATTATACCCTAAGTAATTTATATAATAAGGTAATTTGACTTTAGATTACATTTATTTAATTAATAAATACAAACTTTAAGATCTCACATGGATTATGCACCAACTTTTTAGAATCATATTTTATTAATTGAATATCATGGACAGCCTATACAAAAGTATATTTATTTACAATGGCTTGCATATGCAAATTAGCTTTCATTATTACATGGAAATTTCATCAAGGATTTTTAAATTATCACAAACTATCTATCATTTAATTTGAAGGGGAGCGAATAACAGTAAAGTTATTTTCATGTATGTATTTGTAGGTCATTTGTTCAAATCGTGAAATAAGGTATTAATGCTTGTATTTATTAGAATAGGTTGACCACATTATACTCTTTAGAGTGCATCTCTATTATAGATCCTAAAGTAGTGAACGCGACATATTTCGTGCAAGGACTGTTTTCTTATGATTTTGAATGAAGGGCGCTCATTTGAACTCTCTTCGCTAAAAAATATATATTAAAATACATATAGGGCAAAATTTCATGGCCAAACACGCCCTTAGTTTAGTAGAATACACCTCGTGAAATTTTCTTCAGAAGTGATATTCAGTGATCAAGTAATATGAAACGGAGGGAGTACATGCTTTATAAAAAAGGAGTTGATCTACATCATATGAACTTCAAGAAGCATGAATTATCCCCTTACTAATTCCAATATCCTCTTTTCTAGGTTTTCCCCCTTTTACTAGTCTTTATTTCTAGGCTTAAGTCATATGCGGCCCCTTAAAGTTGTCCGCATATTTCACTTAGACACCTCAATTTAGCCTCATACCTATTGAACACCTTATATGTTCAAAAACGGTTCCAATTGGACAGAAAATACTTACGTGGCAAAAAATGGGTATTTCACGGTCCTTAAGCGCGTGAAATCATTGGAAATGAATTTTCCCTTTTTCTTTTCAACTAATAAACCTAATTAGTAAATAGTATAAATAATAATTAATTTAAAATTTAAAAAAATCGTCTTCTCCCCATCATCCCTCTCTGCAACTACTCCCATCTCTTTACACACCCACCCCACCCCCTCCATCTTTTCTCACATCCCTCCAATTCTTGTATGTAAATCTAATTAAAGTCTCAAATATTTCGGCAAACTTCCATTGTTTTCGATAAAAATAATATTCCGGTGAAGCAATTGATTATTTTTTTATTTGTAAAAGTCTACTTTTTCTTGTAATTGTTATAAATAATTATTAGTGGAAAGAAGATAAAGATAACGAATAGAAGGTTTTGATGCAATTACCCTTCGGGGTGGCCCAGTGGTTTGGGCTTGGGACTTCCATGTTGGAGGTCTCAAGTTCGAAACCCCTTGCCAGCGAAAGCAAGGGGTTTGCCTTCTTGGTCGAGCTCGTCACACCGGGCTTGCCTAGTGTGGGTTACCTCTTCTATGTGGTTTGCGACCTATTGCATAGGAGCGGGGGTTTTACCCTATGCACACCCAAAGGATAGCGACTGCGGGTATCCCTTGTCATAAAAAAAAGGCTTTGATGCAATTAGAATGAAAGGTGAATGAGGAATTAGCTTAAATGGACAATAATGGTGTACTGACTTCGGTGTAAGGGATAAAATTCAATGGAGAAGAAGAAAAGGGTGGAGGCTATGGTTGACTGGCGTTGAGGCGCAGCGGCCAATGGAAAGGGAACAGAGAAGAAGAAGAAGCATGGAGGTGACGGTTAAGATCGATGGAGAAGAAGAAGATGGGTGGGTGGCCGGTGGGGTAGGGGTGGGTTAATTCAAATTTTTGTTTTCTTAAATTGCTTTTTGATTATTTAAATAGATTTTTTTAAAAAAATTAATCCAATTGCCATGTGTCATCGCTTCTTTGGCCCATTTGCTATGTATGAGCGTTCGAAATGCACGCAGATTTCTCTTTTATTTGACTATCATTTTGTGAGAAAATGATCAAAATGGTCCTTGATGTATTGATGTTACTTTATTTTGGTCCTCAACATATTTTAGATGATTGAAATAGTCCATCATGTATGACAAAATGTGTTCAATTTAGTCTTTTACCCTAAACTTAACATTTTACCCCCAAAACTGTTAAATATAATGGTGGGGCCCACCATTATATTTAACAGTTTTTGGGGGTAAAATGTTAAGTTTAGGGTAAAAGACTAAATTGAACACATTTTGTCATACATGAAGGACTATTTCTTTTCTTTTTTTTTTTTTTTTGATAACCGAGAAATCCGTTTGTGACCCGTCCCATGAAGGACTATTTCAATCACCTAGAATATATTGATGACCAAAATAAAACAACCCCAATACATCAAGGACCATTTTGATCATTTTCTCATCATTTTGTGTTAAATAGGTATAAATTTGTTAAGGTTTAAGTGTTCAATAGGTACAAGTCTAGATTGAGGTGTCTAAATGAAATATGCTGACAACTTTAAGATGCGGCATATGACTTGAGCCTTATTTGATATTTCTAGCTACTATTAGCATGGCTACAATCAGCTGCGCCACTGCCAACTCCGTCATCGCTATCTCCACCACCACCACCGCGGCCATTGGCACAGACACCACCAGGCGGCCCGAAACAGTAGTATTTACTTTACCATATAGGCCATCAGTAACTATAGTAGTTAAACATCTTTTGCACCAAACTTTTGGGCTATCATGCACAACTTTGCTTCCATCTCCAGTAGAGACGGATGCAACCCATGTTCAATTGATTCAAATATATTAATACTAAGAACCTTAAATGTTGAGTTTGTCAAATTCAAATCTCGAATCCGTCTCTGACCTGTACAACAACCACATTTTGAACCATCATGCATAACTTTGTTGCTATCTCTGATAGAAACGGATGGAGCCTATGCTCAACGATTAAACATGATTATTATTTTTGACATGGAACAGAAATCTATATATAAGTGTTGTAGAAAATAACTAAAACTTTAAGAATCTTTAAAAGTATAATGAGTTTAGTACTAAGAAGTAAGAACCTTAAAGGTTGAGTTCGTCAACTTTAAATCTTGAATCTGCTTCTGATCTCCGAACTATCACCTTTAGCAGCTCCACCACCACCCCGAGCAGCAGCAGTCTGCCTGTCACAGTAGACATTGACACGGACAAAAGACGAAGCAACAACAGAAGGAGTTGCTCTTAGCTTACATCTTATGGACCTTTTAAAATCAGAGTCTAAAAATCAGCAGGTACATCTAGAGTTATGTGTGTTCATGTATTGCTCAACCTTATTACTATTATTTTGCCGAGTTGGAGTTTCAGCTCGATTGAAGGCCCCGTCCCCGCTGATTTTTTTATATCAGTGCCACCTAAAAACACCAACAACAACCTTCCTCACAACCAGAAACAACTCTCACACAACTTCTCTTTTTCTTCCCCTCATCTTCCCAACTTTTCTTAAAAACAATTGGGGGATTGATAGAAAATGGACAGCCTAACTGAACCTTAAAGCTAGTTTATGAGAAAAGGATTGTTGAGTCTGTATAAACAAATCACCAGTCCGTCCCCAATCAATGTGGAGCTGTACAACCCCTTCACGCCCGGGCGCAATAGGAGCATGGACCGAGAGCCCAAATAGGAGTGAACCTGACCCTAATACCATGATAAAGATTTCCAAAAAACTAAGAAAATGGAAGTTTCATCACTAAAAAAAGAGCATCACACAGCTAAGTCCATACCGCTACAAAGTTTTTCTCTGAATCAGATTCTTTGCATAATTTGTGATAATATTGAAAGTTGGGCTTGCATCTGATTCTGATGTAACTAAATACTATTCATTGTTGAGAATAAAATCAAGTAAATAAACCAGGCCTATTGGATCCGATGTGGGTGGGTTCCCTGGACCAGGCAACCGGGGGGGGGGGGTGTGTGTGAATATTCTCCCAGCCCATGATTGTGCATGCTCCAGTTGGACAGCGTCTGGGGGTGAATGTGATGAATTTGAGTTGTAGGCTAACCTTTTCTCCTGCTTTCATCACTGACAACCAGAAGTTCCACAAGTAGAACACATAGAGATAGTTCATGAGAAGTTATGTCATGCTGCATGTATTACCAGTTTATAACTCAAATGATCCTCTAAAACAAGTGTGGCGCCCCCGCGCCCCGGCGCGCGGGGGGGGGGGGTGTGTGTGAATATTCTCCCAGCCCATGATTGTGCATGCTCCAGTTGGACAGCGTCTGGGGGTGAATGTGATGAATTTGAGTTGTAGGCTAACCTTTTCTCCTGCTTTCATCACTGACAACCAGAAGTTCCACAAGTAGAACACATAGAGATAGTTCATGAGAAGTTATGTCATGCTGCATGTATTACCAGTTTATAACTCAAATGATCCTCTAAAACAAGTGTTTGTACTATGTAATTTGGGGCATAAGTACAACAACATACCCCGTGTAGTCCAACAAGTGGAGTCTGGGGAAGTTGTTACCCTCGGTTCACAAGAGATATTATCAAAGAAAGGAAATAAGATAAAAAAAAAATAGCAAGATACAAAGCAAATGAAATAGTAGATAGTACCATGCATTGAAGAATAAGAAACTCAAGCGATTACTAACTACTACTACTAATAGGAGGGCAGGGCATGAGGTTAGCCCCCTCCCAAATAAGAAAGCAACTCGCTTCAGTTACAGACTCCTCCTATTCACCATCACAAAAGATAACTTCCACTAACAAAACAAACATCCTTCAGATAGATTCTATATGAAGTTAAGGCATTCAAGAAATGTTTGAATCTTTTTTTCCCTGATAATATAGGTGTCCAAACCACCTTGTGCACACGTCCACTGTTCTACAATACCTGCATCCTTACACTATTACATGTACTAGTAATCCTGTCCGGGAGGGAATAAATCGCATAACTTTCTACCTCTACTGGAATTCAAATTCTGTTCTGCATGGTCTTCGTTCCAACTTCATCAACGGCCACACCCTTGGTATAAAAGTTTGGTTTCATATACATCAACATATATCAATTAAAGTGTACTCATCTTAGCAAAGCAAGATAAAGCACAAAACTTTCCTGCTGACTTTCTCTCCCATAAGGATAAAAAGAAACCTCGGTACGAGATACAAAAATAAACTTCATCTAGCTAATCACAAGAACATGCCATGAAAGGGAAAGTAATATAAATTGATTTAACTGTTAAGTCAAGAGTCTAAGCAGAAATCACCTGCTGATTCGAGATACATATATGAATCCGTCAAGAATGTAGCTAGACTCTAGCAATTATTCTTTTAATTCATTGTCTAATCTATCTTCATCTTATATTAGACACAGTTCAAGAATAAGTAATGTATACCAAGTTAAAGCTTCCACCTTCCTCGAAACTTTGGTTTGCTGCTTAAAAGCTCAGAATCTGAACTACCATAAACTACATATCATCGAATTCAACTCTCTTTTTCATCAGTTCCAAAGAGTTTCATCCGGGACAAAGCTGTTCTCAGATAACCTTCCACCTCGAACTTTTTAGGGGAAAGCTCGCGATACTTGGCGAATTGCTCTCTAGCCTCTTTATTCCTGTCAAGCAAACTGTAAATCATTCCTCTGCAGAAATATGGCCTGAAATCTTTAGGGTCCTCCTTCTCAAGCTCGTCGTAGCTCCTCAATGCTTCCTCAACATTCTTCTGCAAGAACTGTACTTGTGCCATTATAAACCGAATATCCCTACTTTCCTTCACTTTGCTCTCTTCCTCAGCTAACCTCAATGCCTCCTCTAACCTCTGAATCACCTTCACCCCCTCACCACACCTATCCATCAACAATGCATTCTCAAACAACGCCTCGAACGAAAGAGGGGTTTTTGATAAAATCTCTTCGAAAACTTCCCTTGCATCTTCAAGCTTCCCCATTTCGTTCAACAGCCTCGCCGTTAAGAATTTCCATTCGGTATTCTCCGGCTGAGCAGACGACAACTTCTTCAGTATTTTCAGACTCTCCTCGTCCTCCCCTGATTCCAATTTTTCCTGGAGGAGGTTTTTTAGGGCTTCAATAGCTTCAGGACTGGATTCTAAGAACTGGGTCAGTGGTGAACCTTCCTCTTCTTCTTCTTGCTGTTGCTCTTCCATTACAGCAGCTGGTGGGGTTTCAGCTCTTGCAAATGAGGTTCCGACCGGAAACTTCCCTAAGGCCACAGCGGCGAAAACAACAGCAACACCGGCGGATTTGAGAGTAGAGATTAATGGGTTCGACTTAGAATTGCCATTGACGGAGGCCTGAAGGACGAATCTTCTGCTATAGCTCTTATGAGCAGTTTTGGGGATTGTGAAAATGGAGGAACGGGAAGGTGAATTGGGGAAAGTGGTGGAGTGGTGGAAGAACGATGATGAACCGATAGTTAAAGTGGAGTTCATGGTGATGGTCGTCGGTAAAAGGTAGATTCCGGCGGGGATGGACGAAAGCTAAAGTCTCCGGCGAGTGTTTTTTTTGGGAAGGTTTTAGCAGTGTGTGGTAGGGTTTTAGAGTTTGAAGAATTTACTAAAAAGGGTAGGTGAGATTTCTTGTACTAAGACCATCTCTAACTCATCTCTATTTTACTGTTCATTCTCTATATTTGGATAGTAAAATAGAGAATGGGTTCTCTAACCACTCTCTATTTTACTTTTTGATTATTATAATATTATTTCTATTATATTACTATCATTTGTAATTATTTTCTAATGTAACATAACATTTAAAAAATATATTATCAACAAGTTACTACTTCCGCCCAAATTAATATTTTTTCTATTTTATTTTTTAAAAGAAATGGTCACTTTAAATATGTAATTTAAAGTTATTTTAATATTATTTATATTATATAAGATTATTAATTATGTCTCTAATATTTGTAATTATTTTCTAAGTAATATAACATCTAAAACATTATTGATAAGTATACTACTTCCATCCCGAATTAACAATTTTTCTAATTTAATTTTTAATTTTTTTTTT